GAGGCCGCCGCCGCCGGGCAGCTTCCCAGGAGCCGTTTGTGCGCCTGCGGGGCAGCCATGGCCGAGGCCCGTCACTTCCGTCATTCAAACCGCCCGCCAATGGCGGGGCCAAACCGCGGGAATCAGCCTGGTCCCGCCCCGCCCGGGGGCCGCCGGGACTGCGGCGCGGGTGAGGCCCGCTCCCTGCGCACGCGCACGCGCCAGACCCTGGGAGAGACCTCATTGTTTCTCATACCTACCGCGTCTTTGAAGTTTTACTTCATCTCTCCCCACGTGCTTATTTTCCACATCGGGAATCGGCCGTCCAGGAAGGGGAAGATGTTTTCCAGAGCCATGAGGGTGACTTCAGCCCTAAGCTCCATCATGAAGATGCCTGGGATGTGCATCCGTTTGTGCACTGGCTGCACAATTCATTTAGTACTATTACAGCTGTCATTAAAGGCCTGTAGCTTGAACAGTGGTGACTCATGACACTCTGCCTCTGGGGTCCCACACACCTAGCACATGTCATAGCTTTATCTACTATACACAACCTATAATCAGAGAAGGTATGAAGGCAGGTTCATATTTACTGAACATCTTTTCTGCCAAGTACAGTGTGCTTCGTGCAAGCAGAAGAGGGTAAATGGATTATGCCTCCTATCCTAGATTTTGTAGTCTAGAACATAAAGGAATCAAAGGGCTAGAAAATGGGAGGTGGGGGAGAGGGAAGTTGCTGACATGATCAGATCTGGCTTCGTTGTGGAGAAGAGGTCAGAGGGAGTGAAGACTGAAGACTGAAGGCAGATGAACCAATTAGGACACTACCGCAGGAAGTGAAAGATGATGGCAATGAGTGGAGAGATTTAAGAGGCAAAGGGGGGACCAAACATCAGGAGTCCTTGGTTAACTGGTTATGTAAGGCACGGTGGATGGTTAAATCAACCCTGAGGCTTGAATTCCATAGTTAGCAACTGAGTGGATGTGGACAACATCCTATGAGAACACGGGGAGAGGAGCAGGTTTGAAGGGGAAAGTAATTAATTAAGTTTTGAATATTTTGAATTAGAGCTGTTTGAGGGATATCTAGATAAAGGAATGAATTGAAGAAATATTTAGGAGGCAAAATTGGCAGTTCTGACAAACAATTGCACATGATGTTGAGGGAACAGGGGCAGTGAAGTTGACCTCACAGGCCTCTAACAATGTTGATGGTGGTGTTGCCAAACAAAGGAGAGATCAGAAGTGGGAGTCAGTTAAGTGGGCAAGCTGATGAGCTGGGCGAGTAATGAGCAAGTAGGCAAGGTGACGAGAACGTGTTGAACTTCACGTGCCTGTGGAATATCCAGTGAGGTGCAGTAAGCAGATGAATCCACTGGTACACAACCCACAGAACTGGGCTAGCATGAGACGTGGGTTTCATTTCCATGAGTGATCACCAAGTATAGGAGTAGATGAGATCAGCTAGGGAGAATTTACAGAGTGAGAAGAGCACCTCGCTAAGGACCAAATTCTGAGGAATATCAAAATTTACAGGAGTTGAAGAAAGGAACTGTGTATACATGAAGATGAAATAGTGTGATCCCACCTCAGTTTTACAGACAGGAACCTGAATTACGGGAAGGTGCAGTGACTTAGCCAAAAACACAAGTGAGTGAAGGGCGGAACTAGGACTGGCGTT